CTGGGTGGACTGGCCGGAGGCCGCCGCGGGCCGCCAGGCTCTGACCCCGCCACTCTCCCGCCAGCCGACTGCAAGTACAAGTTCGATAGCTGGGGGGCGTGTGATGGGGGCACGGGCACCAAAGCCCGCCAAGGCACCCTGAAGAAGGCGCGTTACAATGCCCAGTGCCAGGAGACCATCCGTGTGACAAAGCCCTGCGCCCCCAAGACCAAAGCCAAGGCCAAAGGTCAGCAAGGAAGAAGGGGCAGGGTTGTCCGAGGGGCTGCGTCTCTCCCCCCCCCAAACACACACACACACACCAGTGAAGGGAATGGTTGAACCTGAAGTGGGGTCCTGGCCAGTGGCTTCTTGACATTTCACCACCCTGTGCCAAGAAACCTGGGATGCGCGTGGGTGAGAGGGCGGCCCCCAGAAGGTGCCCCCGAGGTATCCAGCCACTGCACTGTGGGGGCATCTGGCTTAGGAGCCGGGAGGTGTCCTGGCTTGCCTTTGTGGTTTCCAGCGGGAGGGAGCATCTGGCCCTGTCTAGCCTAGGACAGACCGTGCACATGTGGCCTTTATCGGGCAACTGCTGAGAGACACAGGGAGCTGTGCATCTGCCGCTTCCCAGGTGAGACCGCCAAGCTGCAGTTCAGGACCGGAAACCCGCAGGTTTACTGAGCGGGAGAGAAAATACAGACTTGGGAATGTTCAGCGTGCAATGGCTGCCCTGTCCCACCTGCTTCCGGGCCAGCGGTCAAGAACCGCCAGGGGGCAGAATTTTCTCCGTGTGTGTGTGTGTGTGTGTGTGTGTGTGTGTGTGTGTCTGTCTGTCTGTCTGTCCGTCTGTCAGGGGTGTCTACTGGGTCACCCTAACTCTGCTAATGTATTTCTTTCTTTTACAGCCAAGAAAGGGAAGGGAAAGGATTAGAGGCTGGGCCTGAATGCCAAGAAGCCCCCCGGCTTTACCTGGGGTCTGACCATGCCGGCACCTCCCACCGGCCCTGGATAGACCCACCAGTGCCTTTGTCTGCGCTTAGCTTTATCAATCATGCCCGCCTCTTCCCTCTCGCGCCTCCAGCCCCGCTCCCAAGTGCCCCAAGTGGGAAGGGACAAGGGATTCCAGAAATGTGAGCCCTCTCCCGCGCCCCCCATGTATTTGATTCCCACTGCTCCCTCGTTTTCTTCCCAATGATACCATGACTAAGAAGCAAATAAAATAAATGGACTTTTCCCCAATAAAAGCTTTTCTTTTTTAATATATAAAAGCCCCTTCCCAGGAAGTTTGCTGTGGAATGTTGTTTGGGGGTGGGAATGTGGGGAGAAAGATGAGGCCGTCTGGACTGGGGCTAAAGGGGGTTGGGGGACTGGTAGTCAGTGCTCCCCAGAGCTCATGGAAAAAGCAGAACATCTAGGGCGATTTCTTCCAGGAACCCTGAAGAGAACCCTAAACCCTCCTCAGGTCCCCAAGCCTTTCAGTCCTCATCTCAGATACCGGTGCTGGAGAAGGGAACCCAGCCTCTCGCTAGAGCTGACACGCCCATCTCGGCCCCGCCCAGTTAAAGGTCTTTTGGCCCAGCCCCTCGCCAATCAGGGAGCGGTATTCACTAGGACTGGCACGCCCATCTCGGCCCCGCCCCGTAAAAGGTCTTTTGGCCCCGCCCACTGCCGGTCAGGGCGCGTCCACCCGGGGAGAGGAGAGAGGGAGGTTACTCCTCCGTCTCCCTCACTGTCACTGAAGCCTGCGTGGTCAGGTTTATGCCTTTCGCGTTCCCGGTGACTCAGGCAGAGGCCAGAGATGAGGTTTGCAGAGGGCAGGTAGGACAGCCCCACACGGAAGCCGAGTGACCTGGGGCGAGCCCTGTACTTGGGAATAAGGCGGCCCACTCTTGGCTCAGCCTAGGACACAAGAGGCCAGACCCTGGTTCCTGAGTGTGGTCCCGACCTCTCGGCTGCCCCATCCTGCTGTGACAAGGCCAGCTATGGCCAGCCGGGGCCTGGGAGCCTGCAGTTGCCCACCCACCCAGAGCCTGGCTGAGTAGCTGCAGCGGAGGGAGGTTTCTGCCCTGGGAGTGGGGTTTGAGGGGACGGGGCTGAGCCTACATGCGGGGTGCAGGGGGCAGAAAGCACCTATTACAGCAGAACGGGGACCCCACCCTTCCACTCTCTTCCCAAGCACTGGCCCCTCTCCTCCCTCTGGATGTCTTTCAGCTAAGCTGACAGCCACAGAGGGGCGGTACACACCCAGCAGGTGCCCCCCAGCTCTCTGAGGGAGGGCCACAGAGATGGGCCAGGCCAGCCCAGTCCAGACCCTCCCCGGAACAGCCTCCTCAGCCTGAGCACAGAGAGGTCTGGTCTCTGAATCCAGCCAGGGCCTTCCTGAGCCTCAGGGTCTCGGAGACCTCGGTTCTCCTCTTCGGCAAGAGCGAACGCGGAACGGTGACTCCAGCTCTCTTCCCAGAGCAGGCGAGCCCTGTAGTCCCCCAGCACACACACGCCGCAGCAGCGCCTCCTAGGGTGCCCTGCCTGCCTACCTGGCAGTGCCGATGTTCCGGTACTGGCACAGCAGCAGGTGCCGGAAGGTCTTTTTGAAGGTGGCGTTGCAGAGCGCGTAGCAGGCGGGATTGATGGTGCTGTTGACATAGCAGAGCCAGTAGCCGATGGACCACACGGTGTCAGGGATACAGCTCTGGCAGAAGGTGTTCACCAGGACCATGACGTTGTAGGGCGTCCAGGTGAGAATGAAGGCCAGCAGAATGGCAAAGATGGTCCTTGTGACCTTGCGCTCCCGGGCCGCCATCTGCCGCTTCTTGCGAACCTGGTTGCGAGCGATGCTGGCAAACTTGCGGGCCACGTTGGCCGCCGGACGCATGCCCGCAGGCGTGGCAGGCACAATCTCGATGGCTGTCACACATTCATTGCCTGTCTGCTTTGTCACAATCTGGATCTTGGACCATTTGGAGGCTGGATTGAGGGCCCGTGGCTGTAGGGAAGGGACAGGATTGGCAGGCGTGGCAGCCTCTGTGGTCGACAGCTCTGTGGCTGGTCGTTCCTTGGTGTTCTGGGTGACACTGCCCGAGCTAGACTCATTGGAAGTGTCCTTGTCAGCCACTGGGCGTGGCGGTGGTGGCAGGGCCGGTGGAGGGGCCTCCTCTAGCTTCCCGTTCCGCAGCTCCTCCCGAGCAACTTCTCCGGGCGGGGGCTTCTTGATGCTCTGCTTCATCAGGGGGCTCTTGAGGAAGGCCAGCGTCTTGGCCTTCTTCTCCTTCGGGCCTTCGGGCCGGTGCTTGTGGACTCGGCTGCGGCTGGCCAGGGAGATGTGGATGTAGAGCACCGTCATGATGACCACGGGCAGGTAGAAGGCGGCGATGGCTGTGCCGAAGGTCACCGCCGGGTTGGACAGGAACTGGATGAAGCACTGGTTGTCGGGCACTGTCCGCTTGCCCACCACGAACTGCCAGAACAAGATGGCAGGCGCCCAGAGCACGAAGGACAGGACCCAGGCTGCAGCGATCATGAGGCCCGCCATCTTGGTGGTACGCCGGGCAGGGTAGGTGAGGGGCTTGGTGACGCAGAAGTAGCGGTCAAAGCTGATGATGAGAAGGTTCATGACAGAGGCGTTGCTCACCACGTAGTCCAGGGCCAGCCACAGGTCACAGACCACGGCGCCCAGGGGCCAGTAGCCCTTGACGATGTACACGGTGTAGAGGTTCATGGAGAAGGCGCCTATGATGAGGTCGGCGCACGCCAGGCTGAACAGGAAGTAGTTGTTGACCGTCTGCAGCTGCCTGTTGACCTTGATGGACAGCATCACCAGGATATTGCCCACAACAGTCACCAGACTCAGGGAGCCTGTCACCGTGGCAATAAACACCATCTCCACCGTCTCGTAGCGGTTGTGGGTGGACGTGACCAGCCGCACAGACTGGTTGCCCGAGCTGCCGTTGACTGGTGTGAAGTTTGCCATGTTGGTCAGCGGTGGCGGACGTGGGCGGGCAGTGTCTGGAGGAGGAGGGAGAGAGGAAAGGATGAAACGCGGACATGGACAGAGGGACGATGGGGAGTGACCACCTGGCAGAACTTGAGAGAACCCCGTCCCATCAGTCCTCAGCTGCTTGTTCATCAACATTCCTGGAGGGCCTGCCAAGCTCTGTTCTAGGGGCTGGGCCATAGAGGGCGTCGGCTCGTGGAGCTTCCAATCTCATCAGGGGAGACACAGATCACCCGCGCAACCACCAAGTGCTAGAAAGAAACTAAGGCAGGTGAGGGTGAAATAGAAGAGGGCCAGCTGGCAGCACAGTGGTTAAGGCACTGGACTCCCACATGGTAGGCTGTGGTTCAAGTCCCAGACCTGGAGGCTTGAAATGCATGCCAGGCATGTGTGTGTGCATGCCCAGAATCCCAGGAGGGAAATGGAGAAGGGATTACAGCATAGCCATCCTCCCAAAGGGTGGTTTCCTGCCTTCTGTCTCTGTCTCTCTTGTGAGCACATGCACTCTCTAGCAAAAATCTCTTTTAAAAAGTACACACACACACACACACACACACACACACATGCTTTTATGTGTGTATATATAAAATGAATCGTGGGCCGGCCAGCTGGTGGTGTGGAGGTTAAGGTGGCTGGCTTCCACATGGTCAACTTCGTGGATGGAGAAGGGATTGCGGTGTGGCCATCCTCCCTGGGAGGTGATTTCTCTCTCTTTCTCTTTGCGGCAAGCACGCGTGCCTTATAACAAATAAAAATAAAATCAGAAGACAGGGATGGTCCTTGCTGAGTGATCAGGGAAGGCTCACCAGGAAGTGACCTGGACAATGACAGGGAGTCACCGCAGAGCTGCGAGAGTGGCCCCTTTCAAGATGGTCGCCTAAGCAAAGGCCTGGAGGCACGGGTGAGGCCCGGGCAGAAGGCCAGCGTGGGAGGGGGTGGGGGGCGGGGGGAGAGTGCACAGGGAGGAGATGTGTCCCGGGTGGGCATATGGGCTCTAGTGGGGGCGCTCATTCACTCGCCCATGCCCGCATTTCCTATCAGTCCCTGCAGGAGGCTCTGGAGGGAAGACTGAGCGTTAGTGGCTCCTGAGGGTGCGGTGCCAGGCACATCCACGTCTCACGGCATCGCTTCATTTCATCCTCACGGGAGACCTAGGAGGGAGCTGCTGCTACTTATGACCGCTCACAGATGAGGAGGCTGAGGCCAGAGCCGGAAGGTCTGACCAACCTTCCGCAGCTTCTGAAGCCCTGTTGCTGGTGGGAGCGCGTGTGGGCCTGGGGAGAGCTGTCCCATAACCGCGGTTTTAGGCGGTTTTAGCGGAGGGAGGCCCTGGTGTTCCCGGAGCCAGGCCTTCCACTGAGGATTTGCAGAGGGTCAGGGAGGTGGGGCATGGAGCTGGGCACCTCAAGGATGCAGAGGAGAGTGCCATGCAGGCGAGGCTCCCGTCAGGGTGGCACCCCTTCCCTGAGCCCTCGCCTTGAGCCTCAGGACATGGGGCTGGTTGCTGGGGCAGTGCAGCAGAAGCCGGGGGCTGTCAGGAATCAGAAGCTTGAAGGAGGCCAGAGAGCAGCACAGCAATGAAATGCACTGCTTTACACGGCTTGCCCAAGTGGGAAGGTTCCAGGTTCGGGTCTGGGAAGTGCTTTGAGCACCAGGCATGCGTGTCCAGGATCAGGGGCTGGCTGTGGCTGTCACAGGGTCCGGACCCTGTTGGGGGTGCTGTTTCTGTCTTTCTAGTTGTCTCCCGCTCATAGAAAAAAAATACACTTTATGAGGCTAGCAGATGGTGAAGTGGTTATGTTGTTGGACTGAGGTTCAAATCCCGGACCCAGTGGCTTGAAAAATTGAACCGGGTGCATGTGCGTGTGTGCCTAAAATCCTGAGAGGAGAATGGAGAAGGGATTGTGGCGTGGCCATCCCCCCTGGGGGGGTGATTTCTCACTTTTCCTCTCACCATCTCTGTCTCTCCCCTACCTCAAGCACATGTGCCCTAAGGCAAAAACTTCTAAAAAACAAAAAACTTTATATATATATATATATAGTTTTTGGCTATAGGGCATGTGCGCTCACCAGAAAGATGGAGAGACAGAGAGACAGAAAGCAAGAAATCACCCTGAACAGTGAACCAAAGAGGTGAAAGGATTGTCCCAGAGGGAAGGGCTCTGCTAGGGAGCCTGCAGCCAGCCCTGAAGGTGCCCCAGCTGGTCCCCAAGCACAAGGCTCCTCCCCAAGCCTGGCCTCCCTCCTACCCAGGCTCCTTGTCAGCTCTCCCCCTCCTTCCACACATGTGAGGGAGGCCCACGCCCAGCGCACTGTGCCAGGGCAGCCGCTCAGCCCAGCCTCGTTCACACCCGCCAACACACACCCCGCTCCACATACGCACTCAGGCCCAGGGCGGCCACGCAGGCCCAGCAGCCGCTGTACGCAGTTCTGTGCGTCTGTGAGGAAGAGCAGGCGCGGCCGCCGCATGTGGAGGAAGAGTCCTCACCCTGCACCCCAAACGGCTCCAAGGCCGCAGACAAGCCCCCTCACCAGCCTGCAGCTCTTTCTCATGTGCAGAGTAGAGGCGGACCTGACCGGGGAAGCCTCTGAGCACCTGAGGATCCGCACCTAAACTGGGTCTTAAGCCTGAGACTGCACTGGAGGCTGGAGCCAGGTGCCAGGTGCCCCCCCACCCCCAAACCTGGCCACTCCTCCCCCACTGCAGATGGACTCTGCCTCCTGGCCCAAGTGAGGGCTCACAGGAAAGGCTGAGGGGTGGTGCCATCTCCAAGGTCACACATGAGTCAAGGTCACAGATCAGGTACTATGCTCTCTTTGGGGGGGGGGTGTCTCCCTGAGTCCCGTTCAGCTCCAGGAGTCTCTGAAATGGGACCTCAGGTATCACCGTCTGAGCTGGGAGGACAGAAGCACCCAGCAGGGAGAGGCCACCCTTCCTCGGAGGTGCAGGAGAGCACGGAGGGGGTGGGGGAAGCAGAAGTGGTCAGTCAGCCCCTAGGAAACTCATTTCAGCCTCCCAGGGCAGGGCACAGGCCCGCGGGGAAAGAAGGAACCATGCCGGAGGTGCCAGGGAGAAAACCGGGAGCGCGTGATTATTGAGTGTCAGCTGTGAGTCAGGAGGCTCCCGCCGAGCCTTTTATACGGATTATCCGGCTTAATCCTTACAGCAGCCGGAGAGGTAGGTCCTGATAGTAAGTCATCTCCCCGATGTAAGTATCCTCTTACAGGTGACCATGTTAATTACCCTGCCCAAAGTCACCTGCGGCGTAAGTATGAGCGGGCAGGATGAGAACCCAGAAGCCACCTTAACTTCAAGTGCTGCAGCTCCGAGTCGGTGTCCTGCCTCTCTGTTCTACCCCCTTCAGACCACAGCCTGAGGATCGCGCCGGGCGTGTGTGCGTGTGTGCCCAAAATCTCAGAGAAGGGGGTGAGTGATTTCTCACTTTCCCTCTCTCTGTCTCTTATCTCTGGTGAGCACACTGCCCTACGGCAAACATCTAGAAATGAAAAACCTGCACGACTGAGAAGTCAGGTGAAATTTGGGGCAGGGTACCCTGGGGTGCCTTCCCGCCTGGCTGAGCTGGGACCAACCAGAGGCAGTTGTTTTAGTTTCTCTATCCCCTGGCTGGAAGGAAGTTGTTAGCTGCAGACAGGGCGAGCCTCGGTGTCCCCCTGACTGCCCCCACTCTTTCTGGACCTCTCCCGGTCACCCCAGACACCTGACTGCTTGGAATCCAGGCCCGTCTGGAATCTGGGAAGGCGAGCAGCGCGGCCCGGGCTATGTACCGCTAGATGGCAATGTCGGTCCCCAGGTGCCAGCTTCGGACCTAAAGCGGCGGCCGCTTTTCGCCACCATTCTTGACTCCAACGCGACGGCGACCGCAGAGGCGCCCCCGACAGAGCCTACCAGGGGAAGGACGCAGGCCCCCCTGACCAAGCCTAGCCAGGCGCGCCCCGGAGCTGCCTTTAGCTCCTCGCGGAGTTCAAGGGTGAGAAAGTTAAGGGCGCCCGGATTCCACCCCGCACCCGAGGAAGGTGTGGGCGGGAGGCGAGTGCGGGTTCTGTTTGTGTGTGATTCCGGGGGCGCGCGAGTAGACGCTCGTAGCTGTCTGCATGTGCGTGTGTGCGCATGGCCACGCCTGGAAACCAGTGCGCCTGTGAGCGCGTGAGCATGCCCGCGCCGTGTAGACACGTGCGTGTGCATGCGTGTGCGTGCCTGGAGTGCTGTGGCCGGCGGATGCACATGGCCCTGGCGGCTCAGAACCTGTGAACTTGGGCGCGCACGAGCACAGGCTGCCCTGGACAGCAAGCAGTCACCATTCAAACGCCCCTGCCGCCAGACTCAGGCCAGACCGATCCAGCCAGGATTCGGCGTCCAGATCGCCAGGTCTAGGGGTGGGGAAGGGTCGTGGGCTGGACGAGGCCCGACTGCACAGTGGGCGAAGGGCCCCCTGACTTTGGGACACCATCTTAGGCTGGCGCCCAGTGCAATCCGAGTCCTCAGCGACGCCGCGCAGAGTTCCAGACCCGACTGACTTCTTTCAGAGGCCACTGCGAGAGTGTTCACCCTGGCCTTGAGGGACATCGGGCTCAGCTCAGCCTGTCCCACGGGGACCTTACAGCCCAAAGCTGCCCAATACCCACACCGGAAACCCCGGCTGGCGCGTGGGTCAGACGAGTGTAAGATTCTTGCCCTTCTCTCCTCACTCTGCGCCCCGCTGGGAGGCTCAGGCCAGCCCCGGATGCCAAAGTGGGCGCCGGGTTTCTCAAGCCCTGGGCTCCGGCGGGCTGACTCTTGGGCCCATTTGGAGGCTCCTCCAGGTCTCCGCAGGGGTCGATGTCCCTGCTCTCGGGGTCCCCGCCCTGCCCCAACCCCCGAGCATGCAGTTCCTGCGGCCCCCGGGCGTGGGCACCGGTGCTTTCCCGGCCCTGCGACCCCCTTTCTCAGCAGGAGATGGGATGAGGTGTCCGAGGCCTGTGGGGTGGTTTGGGGCGCAGGTCCTCGGTTTTTAGGCTCTGGGAAGG